CGCGTCTGGCTTGGGTCTGGCTGCTGTGTTCAGCTCCTTCCCGCTGCTGCCCTTAAGCGTGAACCTGTTGTGCCCCTGTGGCGAGATGTTCTGCTCCTGGACTAGCTGTTTGGATCTATCCTCTACACTCTCTGCAGGGATTGCAGCTGCAGGAATACACCTCAGGCTTGTACGTCAGGCCTGAGCTGTGCCTGGAGGGATCAAGGTAAAGTAGGGGGAAGAGGAAGGTCTCCGCACACTCTCATGGCACCTCGGCTAAGACTGGGTCTGGGGGCTCCGGGACGGGGCAAAAATTCCTACTCGGCAGGCGGTGTGGGGGAGGCACTGTGGAGTGGTGGGGGACGACCCAAGCGGCTAGGAGAGGGTCCGGCCCAAGCTGCGCCTGGGCTGGTTCTGGTCCCGCTGGCGCAGTGTAGCAGGAAGCTCTCCGCACACTCAGCAGACCTGGGCTAGGACTGGGTCTGGGGTCTCCCGGAATTGGGCAGGACTCTTGAGTATTCTTGTTTTCCAGAGGTCAGAATAGTTTCTGAGGATAAACCTGATAAACAGAAGAAACACTCAGTCTGCCTTTCAGCCCATTGTCCAAACTGTGGGATAAGCAAGCCGGGCACATGGCCACACTTTAATTCATCATCAGACTGTTTCTTCAGAAAGGTGAAACCAAATTTGGGGCTTACTTCCAAGAACGTATCAGAAGACAATGATTTTGTGATTCAGCTTCATACAAAGTGAGCCTTCTGTCACTGTACTCATGAGTTGCATTACCTGATGACAGAGATTGAATGACGAGAGTAACATTTCTTAGATGGAGTCTGTAGTGTTTCATTCTTCCTTGCCATATCTTTTAGGGAACATAAAATTGCCTATAGCTAAAGTTCATAACGTTTCTGCTAACAAAGACTTGGGTGTCTCTCCGTTGTTTACATTTGTCTGAAGCCAGTGCATGCTTCAACCTATCACTCTAGAGTTAGAATAGCATTATGACTTCCCCCAATTTCTTCTTGGAAGACATGTTCAAAAGGCCTAATACTAAAGTAAATGCCTCTTCTGTGGGAATGGAAGCATATATTTGGTCTTAACCATCCTGCAGAAAAGTATAACTGCAAGGTGTAAAAAGTAATGCCATATTAATATGCTGAGCTGTAAAAGGCTCAAATCAATAACTTCAGACAATTTCCTGTTCTGCTGATAACCCACTACTATTATGGACTATTGGACTATATTGGGATATTTTGTTGAATTCAAGTACCTACGTTATTTGAACTGTCATTAAGTTTGAAAAAGTCCTTTAAATGTGTCTCCAAATACAGCTTCTATAACAGCAATGCAACACCTATCTGTGACAAAACAAAGCAAAAAGGGGGATATAAATGAAGGACTACTTTGTAGTGAAAAAATATAGGTGTATATACAAAATAATGAGGATAGATATATAACTACTTTCTCTGAGTTCAATGAGAAGAAAGATTTATATTAATATTGTTTAGACAAGAGATCATGTCTGCATCTTGTACTGTGAATAAGTGCTACAAAGACAACAACATGTAATGTATTAATTATAGTAACTGCCCTACTATCCTGTTTTGAAGCCATCTCATTGCTATTTCCTTCTCATGAAAATTAATAACAAATAAAATATATAAACACAATGTTATTGTACCATCTTCATGAACATGTGTCTGATAAGACAGATTTACATGAATTATTAGTACTAATGGAGAAAACAATCTTTTCCCCTAGAACCTAATTACATTCCTTCTTTATGTAAATGTGATTTTCCTCCTCACTTGATGTCAACAAACACATATCCTGTAAAACTTCTAACCTGAATATCATATTTAGACTCATATTTGTATGTGTCTTTCAAGTATTGAATATAGGTGTGAAAACATAACTCCACCTGATTTCGCCAGTTTTACAAGGTTTCTGTAGTGGTGGCAGAGGAGATAGCGAATGTAATATAT